ATCAATTATGAGGAATTTGTGGCAATGATGAGAGGTGGGAGCAAGGAGCTGGTCCTAGGTGCACGAAGAGCATTCTGATAAGTTGCTGAAATAACTACTGTCAGGGTTAGGAACATCTGTTAGCCAGAGGCAAGCATTGTTGGATAAAAGGGAGGATCAGTGATGGGATATGTGTGGGTTTTTGAAGGTCGTTTTTTTTGGATGACAGCCATAGCTGGAGCTAAACTTTGACATCATGTATTTGCTATCTTGTGTTTCTATGTAAGACTGATCCTTGAAAACACTCGAGAGAGAGAGAGAGCAGTTAATGCGTTGAAGATCGCTTGTTTTGGATGACAGCCATAGCTTGAGTTAAATTTTGACATCATGTATTTGCTATCTTGTGTTTCTATGTAAGACTGCAATCAAATCCTTCAAAACACTTGAGAGAGAGAGCAGTTAATGTGAACTTGGGATTGGTTTGCAAGAGATGAACTTTTTTTATCTGTGGGGATCACATTCGCTTGTCTTGATTTTTTCTGAAATTCAAGAGAATGTAACAGGTTCCAAGATGTAAAAGCTTGGGATACTTTTTTGTGCATCCCTACCTCAATATGTAACCATTGTGCTCCAGCAGTCTAATCTAAACGGATGGTGGAGATTTCACAAGGCGAAAACTGGCTTAGCATGTAGGCTTGCCCAAACTCCTCTTGTTTAATCCATGAATAGCATGCCCAAACTCCCAAAAATTTCATGTTCCAGTCAATTTAATCTACTCAAAATTAATCGTCTCTTTTCCTCTTCCTCTTAGTTTTGTTGCCGTTTAGGCCAAGAGGAGATGCCAGGTGCTTTTTTGGCAATAATTGCCGGAAAAATCGAGGGTGGATTGATGGGAGCCGGTCATCCCCGACCTGACTCCTTGTGACATGCTTACAAGTGCACTCTCAATCTCAAACCAATGTTTAAAACATGGGATAGGTGACCCTGCTTGCCCACTTGGAAAACTGGGTCGGATTGGGAGGTGTGGATCGGTAATTTAGTGTGGATTGGGAGGTCTGGATCGGTGAATGAACTGAATCGCCATGATCCAGCTTTAAAACAAAATCACCAAAAATCCTCATGAATATTTGTTTTTTGAGTTCCAAAAAAATAAGGGTGTAGTGTGTAATGTACTTTCATTATATTTAAAAAATATATGAATATATGAATATTGAGACATTGTTTCTTTATCTGAACATCTGTAAGCCATTATTTTCATATCACATAAACAAAATGAGCATAAAATCATCTTGGATATGACTAAATGTTCAAAAACGGAGCATAGCACTATAGAAACACACCCTAATACAAATAGTGTAGTTTTGAAGTATGAAATTTATATATTTTGCTGATTACAATTGAAGGTTTTTGAAGGTTACCAAAAAGATTGTGGATTACAATTGAAGGTTTACCTCTTCATATGTGGAATTTTGAGATTTTTAAATCCATTGCAGCTCAATGTGGCAAATTTTGAGGTTTTTAAACCATCAACTCAGAGCTTGTCCCAGCTCGTTCCAAGCATCTTTTCGCTTCTTTAGAGGTCGTCCCAGGTCGTTCCAAGCCTCTTTTCACTTCTTTAGAGGTCGTCCCAGCTCGTTCCAAGCCTCTTTTCGCTTCTTTCAGGGCCCAGAATAGGAGAACATCATTGGAACATGTTCTTCTCTCGATGCCTTTCAAATAACACGCGTTAAACATTTCAAAATTTCTTTTGAACTCGAAGGCTAAGGTGTGTGGGAAGCCGGCTTTGCTGGCGGCTTGAACGAGAGAAGGTCTTGTGGCCCGACTCTTGCTCAGAACATAATTTGACGGAATCATATTTTTTCACCAACTCTTTTTGACGAGTTTACCCCCGAAACCAAGGTGGGATCCAATTTCTTGCTCGTATTTTCGAGTATAAATAGTTTGGGCCTATCATTGGGCTCGTCAAGCTTGCCATTCACCGTAGCCATTGAAATGACCGTCATGACTTCATCCTTAAAGGCCACCATCAACCCAGAGCTCGTCCCTGCTCGTTCCAAGCCTCTTTTCGTTTCTTTCGGGGTGTGGAATACGAGAACATCACTGGAAAACACGTAAACATTGTTTCGAACGTCTTTTTATCTCAGTACACAACTATCGTGAAGACTATTTTGATTTTAAAAAATACAAAAATTGAAAAAAATAAAATAAAAAAGAAGGTATGAACGAAGTTTAAAAATTAAACAATATTTTTTCTATTTTTTAATATAAAGCCTAGGCCTTTTACTAATTGCATCCTATTATCAATATTCATACATATTAATATTATTTGAATACATAGTTTATGAGACTTTGATTCACCTAGTTCGAAAAAAAAAATTTAAGTACCGTTTGAAGTCAAGTCGGGTCACCTAAGATTGTACTGGGACCTCAGACGAGAACCCGGTTAAGTCTAGATTGTGGCAAATGGCTGCCCGCTCTTGTCTAGTTGTCCCTATAGGGTCGGCCTAAGCCCCGGCCCAGCCCTAGACCTATTAGGTTGGGCAGGGCTGGATCACGTCAACAATAAATGAAGCAAAAGTAAAAAGGCCAAAAGATAAAGAAAAAAAGAGGAGGGTAAGGCCGGGCCTAACTAGGCCAGCACTAGCCCTAGCCCATCCCTCAAGCCATATTTTGTGGCCTAGGCGCTACTTTTCTATGGCCGGGCAGTCCAGCATAGTTAGCAAATCGGGGACTATCAATAAATCGGCTCACCATAAAATTAGAAACAAATCGTTTTTATTTTAAAAAGTCAGATGTAAAAAATACAGATCGGTAAAAATACTTCATATAAAGATATCGCTAATATATCGGATTAGGCTCAAAATATTGAAGTCAAAAAATTGGATAAATTTATAATATTAGAAATTTTGAAATTCTAAAAAATAAAATCATATCAAAGACATCAATAGCTAATTCATCCATAAAAACTTTACCAGACTAATATAATTAAATCAATTAATTTAAATGCTTGGTTACTCCCATCCAATTATCTAATATTAAATACAAAATTAACAACTGTATACCAAAAAAAATGTACCATGTAAATCTACCCATTAAAAACTTAAAAAAAGATCACACCTACTTATTACGTACCAAAAACAAATATATTATATAAATTTATTCATCAAATACTTTAATTATGGCATGGCGACAAATATACTATATAAATTTATTTATTAAATACTTAAACATCATAGGTACAAAAAAAACAAAAAACAAGACACCATTTTTGTTTTCTCATTACAAAGATTACCTATAGTATGGTGACTATGGTCACTCCATAACTATGGTTAAAGTTTTATAAATTTCATTAATTGAAAAGAGGTTAGTAGAAATTTGGGTTTCACATCTCTATGTTTATGGTTTAGAGAGAGAATGAAGACGGAAGAGAAAACAATAGGGCTGGGATCATAGCCATTGGGGTTTACGGTTTAGAGAGAGGAGAAAGAAGAAGGAAGAGAAGAAAATAGGGTTGAGCTCATAGCCATTAGGGTTTACAGAAAGAAAGAAGAAAGAAGATTAAGGTTTATAGAGAGAAGAAAGAAGAAAGAAGAGGTCATCGGCTTCACAAACCTGATTTTTTAGAGAGAGAGAAAAGGAAAATGGATGCGGGATTGGGATAGTTTGAAGGGAGTTTTTTTTATTTGGGATGTTGTTTGAAAGAAAGCCCTAACTATAATGATTTATGAAGAAGCCCTAACTGAATTTTAGAGAGAGAAAATGAAGAGGGTTTTTCATTTTTTTGGAGAAATAGTAAGCAGAGCATAAAGACTAGGTTGGAGAAACTAATCCTATATCCTGTAAGTTTACAATTTACACTATATTGTTTATCTTTGTTATCATCTAATCAAAAATAAAATATTATTTTTTTGGTTCTGTAGTCACACTCTGCTTCTCACTCATAAGTAAAAGACTATGTTTTGAGCTCTAATTTGTGCCATAAACAATATTTTCATAAAAACAATCATAACAAATAATCACAAAAATCTGCATTTATATGATTTACTTTACGCAATGATTTATTTCATAAAATGATTTGTTATAAACACTATTTTATTTATACAATGATTTTCCATAATAACAACTGAAATCGTCATCTATTTGTTTAAATTTAAAGAAAAAAGGGGAAAAAAAAAATCATACCTTTAATCTGCAACCATGGCTTTGAAGACATGGCTTTGAAGAAATGGAGATAAAAATTTATATTTTAACGTACGAAAGTAGCAATGGCTGCAATACACAAAGCATCGAAAAAATTATCTTTCAAAAAAAATTATACGTAAAAAAAGATAAGATTTTTTTTTTTCCTGATTTAAAGCGTATTATAAAAACGCGTTTTTAAACGTTGTTATGAAAACTACGCTATTTTTTCCGATCTTATTAAAAACTCGCCGTTTAAAACTGTTTCCATAAAAACTCCGATGTTTTGAAAAAAGCGCCGATTAAACGGCGATTTGCTAGCTATTCTGAAGACCCACCACCCGTTTTGAGCTTCAAAGCCATGTTCTTCTTCTCCTGAAACAACTGCAGGAACAGGACTCTCTCTTAAACATGCCTGAGGACCCACAAGCTAATAGGGGGTCCTCCAAAGAAGCCCCTCTGATCAAATATGCCTTGTTCTTCCTCCTTATTCATGCCCACTTGGTGGAGTCTCGCGAGAAGACAGTCATGGAAAAACCCCACATTTCCATTCTCGCCCTTAAAGTGCCTGCTTGTAGGTCCTCTCTCTGTGCTCTACTTCTCTTCTTCTTCTTATTTCCCCCAAATCGAAGAAGATGAAGAAGAACCCCCTGTTGCAGAAGAAATCTTTAGAGGGGCCCCAACAATGGGTCCTTACAAACAAGGGGATTCTACCTTCTTCTCCCTTGTGCAGACATATGCCGACTCTGGAGACTTTGTTTTATTGAATCAGGTATTCACGAGAATGAAGAGAGAGAATCGAGTTTTTACAGAGAAGCTCTTCATTCTTGTGATAAAAGCTCATGGGAGGGCTGGCTCGTATGAATCTGCCATCAAAGTGTTCGATACAATGAGAGACAGATACAATTGCCCGCCCACCATTAGGTCCTTCAACTCTGTGCTCAATGTTCTGGTGCAATCCTGCAACTTTCATGGGGCACTGGCCTTCTATCATCGAGTATTACGAATTGGTGGGCTCGCCCCAAATTCCCTCACCTTCAACCTCATCATCAAGTCACTCTGTAAGCTTGGGTCTATCGATCAGGCTGTAGAGATGTTTAGGAAGATGAACAGCAAGGGTTGCCCCCCTGATCTGTTTAGTTATAGTACTCTGATTGATGGGTTGTGCAAAGAAGACAGGATAGAGGAGGCCATTGCCTTATTGGACGAGATGCAGGTTGAGGGATGCTTTCCAAGTGTTGTTACCTTTAATTCTTTGATTCATGGAGTGGTCTGTAAAAGAGGGGATATGGGGCGAGCTTCCAAGCTCTTGGACAATATGCTCCTCAAAGGGTGCACCCCAAACCAAGTGACTTATAACATCCTCATTCATGGACTCTGTGTTAAGGGCATGCTAGATAAGGCTGTCACCCTTCTGAGCAAGATGGTGTCGGAGAAGTGTGTGCCCAATGCAGTTACCTATGGCAGTCTGATCAATGGGTGCGTTAAGCAGGGGAGATGTGGCGATGCTATTAAGTTCTTATCAGACATGGCAGGGCAGGGTTGCCTCCCAAATGCACACATTTATTCTATTCTCATAAGTGGTTTTTTCAAGAAGGGGGATTGTCAAGCTGCATTGAGGCTATGGAGAGAGATGGTAGAGAGAGGTTGCGAGCCGAACACTGTTTCTTACACAAGCCTTGTGGATGGGTTATGTAGAGTGGGGGAAGTTAAAGAAGCTAAGAAGTTCTTTGAGGAGATGGTGAACAAAGGCTCTGTGCCCAATGTGGTCACCTATAGTTCTTTGATGAAGGGCCTCTTTGAGTCGGGTAAGTTCTCAGAAGTGGCTATCTTGTGGAAGGAGATGATAGAATCAGGTTGCACCCCCAATGCCATCACTTACAGTGTGCTAATTCGTGGGTTTTGTTGGGATGGGAAGCTGAAGGAGGCCTGGGCAGCATGGAAACACATGCTCGATAGTGGTTGCAAGCCCGATGTTGTGGCATATACTACACTTATTAATGGTTTATGTGATGCTGGCCAAGTTGATGAGGGTCTTAAGCTTCTTGATGACATGGTGTGTCGAGAATGCTGGCCAGATGTGGTTACATTCAACATAATTTTGGGTGGCCTTTGCAGGGGTGGGGAGCTTTCACGTGCAGTCGGCCTCTTGAAGCGGATGATTGACTCGGGTTGTGATCCTGATACAATTACATGCAATGTCTTCTTGCAATGTTTGATGGAGAAGGGATTATATGATGGGGCAGAACAGTTCATGGAGGAGCTTGTTAGTCACATGATTGAGAGGGGGCGGGTTAATGGGGCTTCTGCTGTGCTTGAAGTTATGCTGCAAAAGTGGCTTCTTCCGAATAGTTGTACATGGGAGAAAGTTATTCGATGCCTCTGCAAGCATAAGAAGATACAGAAGACCATTTACAAGTCTTTTGTGGAACTCTTTGGATGATCTTGGATCTTGGCCCTGCTTATTCTTTATCTGAAATGTGATATCATGCCTTGCTTTGGTCTTGAAGAAAATGCCACTTGTTCTTTGTCAATGGCATGTAGGTGGAATTATTTCCTTGTTTCCTTTTTTTGGTTTTTGTTTACTTTTTAGTTTGTTCTATCAATTTGTTAAGAAAGTGAACTTGGAATAGGCCTAAGACTTAGCAAATCGGTATTTCCTAATAGTCTACTTAATAGAATTCTGAACTATTTTTTAATGTGTCTTTTTTTTGTTTGTGTTTGCCAGCTTTATGAAGATCCATGCTGGACTTAAATTTGTTTCTGGAGGGAACTCTATGGCTGATTGTTACGGTTTCATCTGGCAACAAGTTGGTAATGTTCTGCTCAGCCCCCAGAGGCTACCAGTTTACTCCAAATATCGCAAATCCATCAAGGTGTTTTGATTAGAAGTTTTATTATAGTTACTCTGTGAGTTTAGTCTCAGAATAGCAGGGTTTTGAGTGCCTCTCTGCTTATGGGCTTCCAGTGTTTACTGTTTGTTGTCATTCTTCCAATTAATTTCAATAGCAGGGTTTTGAGTGCCTCTCTGCTTATGGGCTTCCAGTGTTTACTGTTTGTTGTCATTCTTCCAATTAATTTCATTAAGTCTGTAATAAAATACTTGCTGAAGGTTCAATGAAAATTTTACTTTTTCTACAACAGTAAAGCAGAGTTTTTTATGTGAACATGGGGAGTTAGGTATTATTTAATAATGGACTTGGTAGCCTTTTCTTAAACATCTTATGTGATAGCTTTTATCTTATCATTTTGGCTGAGGAAGGTAGGACATTATAGAGAACATGGAAATCTACATCATTAGTTGGAATTACTAGTGATTCCACAAATGAATGGTTATACATGTATTGTGTGTGCCATTTGCCTAATTTCCTTTTCAATTTCCAGATCTCACCTTGTGATGGAAGTAGGAATCTTCCAACTGACTAACAACAAAGTGTCACCCTCTAAAGTTGCCCAAAAATAGAAGTCTAAGCCTTAAAGCATAGCAGTAGAGGTTGACAATAATTGGTTATATATGCTCGAATGGAAGTTGTTATGCAAAGAATTAGAGCTGGGTGGGCGAATTGAAGTTGTGCATCCGGAATTTAATGTAATCACCGCATATACTAATGAAACTGAAGGGGAAGTTCCACAGGACCGCTGTAAGACCATCAATGCTTATGGGAGGAATGTTGGATGGTCAAGAAACAATATTCCAATAGGATGAGTTTGGTTGAGATGATGATGTTGAGATGGATGAGTGGCAAGACAAGAAATGACATAATTCGGAATGGATATATTCTAGAGAATTTTATTATGGCTTCAATAGGCGATAAGATAAGGAAGTAGACTTAGGTGGGCTGGCCATGTGCAGCGTAGGCTTAATATGACATTAGCTAGAACGTGTGATTTGGTTCAAGTGGAAGGCTCTAAAATGGCAAAGAGAAGACCCAAAAGGACATTTATAAAAGTAGTGAAAAACGATATGTTGACTTATAATCTTCCTGAGGATATGGCCCTTGATAGAGCATAAAGGCGGGATATGATTCGTGTAACCAACCCCAAATAGTTGGGATAAGGCTCGGATGATGATGATGATCGAGTGGAAGTGTCACCTCATGCATAAAGAGAACTTGACAATAAGTGGTCTAACGTGTCACATGTTGTTGATGACTTCAATGGAAGTCTCACCCCATTCACTCTAGGAATGAAGTTTGAGCACATGAAAATCATGTAGTGCTTATTAGAAAGAAGCTAGATTACATTAATAATTTTTTATCATTCTCTCATTTTGGATTATTCACTCAAATCACATTATTGTGCTATCACAATCTTTCCAACGTGGAAAGCCTGGTGGTGGTTAAATATTGTCGCTTCATTTTCAATACATTAAGAAAAAAGAAATTGAAGGAATCATCAGAGGTGAACTGCAAAATAATAATTAAAAAGATTAAAAAAATTATGCAATCAACTGAATTTTCCCTCTTCTGGATAAATTGCTGTGTTCCATAATTTGGATTTAATCTCAGGGTTCTTAGTCCTAGTTGGAGAGCATGCATAAAGACAAAAGGCATTCTGGTTACCCGTATGTGACAAAGAGAGGTTATTGCCATAAAGACCATTGTTCACCTTTATGTTCTGTGTTGCAGGATTTCTACTTGTAGAATTTAGAAGCCTTCTTTTAGGTAAGTCAGCAGGGGACTTGAAACCCTGAACGTAGCTTGCAGCTGTCAGCACCCTAGCAATCAAGCCAAGGCTATTACCCCTGTGGAGTTTTAGAAGTCATCAATAATAGAAGTAAAAAGAATACCAAACTGATGCACTTTCTTCTGATAAATGATGGCTAATCTGGTGTTAAATCTTTAACTGAAAGAAATTACAACTCCATAGAGCAAGGTCTGTATATGCCTTTTCTTCAGCAACCTCTTGATATATTCATTAAGATATATTTATGAAATTAGCTCTCTAATCTTTGAGTTACTGCTCTATATCTTATCTTTTTTTGTTTTTTTCCACTGATGAACATAGTCATATTCAAAAGAAAGTAACTTAACTGGATTTGACTATGCATGGATTTGTTGAGTATTGAAGATCAATTGTAATTGCATGATCATCGTGGCAAATTTGAGAAATTATTTCTTGGCTATCTATATTTCTGCATGTCGTTGCCCAACCATCGCTGTTCTAATCTACTGCCTCTCATTTTACTTTTTTGACCTCTGAAATCCAAAGTTCCTTAAGGAGAATACCTCTTTAAATCTAATTATTCTGTAACAGACATTCTGTTTATTTTTCGGGTTTTTGTATCTGATGCTTTGTTTTTATTGCCTTTGATTTCTCCCTGTAGATGAAAGCTGCTGAAGTTTATCCCATCGATTGGCAAATTGTCAACTGCTCAAGAAATTTCGGATTTGACTGATTTGGAAGAGAGTTAATTCAGGGGATTCAAAGCCTGAGATATTGTTCATTTTAGATGCACAAAAATCGGGTGCATTCCTTTTGAAAATTATAGAGGGCAAGATGACTGGCGCAACAAAGGCTCATGAATGTTGGCCCGCACAAGGTAACTGACGAGCTAGTTGGAAGCTTTCTGGGAAGTAAAAGTGGAAAATTCGTGCTTCATTTGATCCATGGAACAGCAAGGTCAGCTGCTTGGTGACATGGTGGATGCAGATTTTGAGGTGTAGTAGAAAGGCCCTCCCTAGTAGTGTAAGAGTAAGAAAAGATGCAATTTTTTGGCCCTTTCTTTTATTTGTAAAAAATGTAGCAAATCCCAACCAAAAATTTCACTCAAAAAGTTTGGGGGAAATAAAACTGTTAGCCGAATGAGCAAGAATTTCACTCAAAAAGTTTGGGGGAAATAAAACTGTTGGCCGAATGTGCATGTGTTGAGGCTGATCATTCATGTTTTCTCAGAGAATAATATACGGAGCCTTTTCCAAGGAAGAAGAGTCCCTTATTCCAAGAAAGAAAAGGGGTTTTGGGCGGGCCAGATTGCTTTAGCAACCAGTGTAGACATTAATCTTCACGCTACAGTAATGAAGGTTACTAATTGGTTGATGCATGGTGATGTTGCTTTTCACATCATCAATCCAAAGAGGTGTTACTGCTGTCACAAATAGCACCATACAAACAACATTCATTTGTTCTAAGAAAATTCAATTTGGTTTTCCTTTTAGAAATTTTTCCTTTTAGTGTCATTGGCTCCTACTGATATTCGGCAAGCATATTCCTGAACCGACAATACACTTGTCAAATATTTGAGAGTTCTTGACGGAGCTATTTGTTTTTATTCTTTTGATGCAGTTATTTGTTATCTTGGAAAAAGTTTTTTTTTTTTTTCTTTTTTCAATGCACGATTTCAAAAGTCCATTACCCAAGAAGATCAGATTGGGCCCTTTACACCCCTAAATTGGTGGGGGGATAAAACGACCTTATAACTTAAATTTGGTGTGTCCAAACAGGGCCTACGTCTGTATGTTTCCAAGCATGCCATTTTCTTTATAAAATATCTGCATATGATTATTCCTACATGTTTAGAGTTTGTTTGCTGGGGTAGACTTGAAGTTGTCATCGATACAGGATTTTGAAAGAAGGAAAGCAGATGTCAATTACCAGCCAACCCACAAGTAGAGGATCTTTTATTTTAGAAAAATAAGAAATTATGATTGTGTTCTCTTAAATATCAGTTATTATTTGAAACACCCACCATTTGTATTTTGCGTTGTATTTCTTCTTTTTCATCTTTTTTCCCAAAATGCATCTACAGAGTTATAATGAAATACTTCACTTTAGACCTTTCAGATATGAAGTCAAGACATTACAATATAACCTGGTACCTCGCTCTCGCTCTCCATTGTTGTATGTAAACCAATCCTTTCTGTTGACCCCCACCACCACCACCCCTCCCCCCAAGCCCCCCTTCCCTCTTCACTCAAACATTGTTTCTCTATTCTTGAGCATTCTCTCTCTCTCTTGTTGAGGAACAATCAATGCTTGGGTTCATCAAGGATTGGGTTATGAGCTTAGGTAATGTGATTGGGCTACGAACAAATTGATTTTTTTCTATTGTGTACTTTCTCTTTGTATAATTCATATCCACAGAGCCATCATCTCTGATACGTTGCTTTGAAACTAGTGTTTTTGCCCAATCAATTTTACTTTTAACCTTCTTATGCATTACTGAAATTGCTCTTAAAGGTATATCTATGAGGTGAATTCTTCTCTTAGAAAGCTCAACTGAATAATATTGTTCAAAATCAAGTGAAACTAGAAAATGCAAAGTAGTCCTCCGTAAAACTTTTTGAAAAAGGGTATTAAGGAATTTGAGAATAAATATAAGTAGTAGAAAGGATAGAGATACTTTACCTAATTGGCTATATGGCCTTAAACTTCACGAATCATCATAGTTAGTGATTTTTAAGGCATTTGGAAAACAATTCCCAATTTGCGAACCATACCACAGTATGTAGCACTAATAACATTCTATATCGTGTTGACTGGAAAGTATATCACGAGACCATTTACCTTTGATACAAGGTGGTCACAATTAATCTTGATCATTGGATGTGAAATTGGGTCGCTACATTTATTTCATTGACCAAGCTCAAAGTTCAAAAGAAATTTTTTCGAACTTTGTGACACATCGAAGATATCAGATTTCATATCAAATGGTTATAAATAATTATGACCTCCTTGTATCAATGGTAAATGGTCTCATTGAATACAATCTCGACATGTATCATAGCTTGATACTTCCCTATTTCTCATGGTTTGGGGTTTCTTTATCCAGTTCCCAAGGATCCTTATAAATGTGGTTCCTTATAGTGTTTAAAAAACTACCCATCTAGATCAAGAATCGGAAACTATGATCGAGATTGGTGTGGGACGACTTGGATCCTTATCAGAATTGGGAATTGGTCTAATTTAGAGGGACTTAGCCAGTTTTGTCAGAGAACCAACAAATCTAATAAGGTCTGGGCGATTTGGATCTGCCGAATCAGCCAATTCCTACCTAATTTATTTTTTAATTATATATATATATATAAACTAATATCTATTATCTATTTATATATATTAAACGAGAGGAATACCTTCGCTATTCTTGCACCACATGTCCTTTTTATTTTCCAAAATTGCCCTCACTCTCAAGGTAATGCATCTATCCCTCTCTCTCTATAACACACACGCACTCTCTCCGTGTATCTCTCTCTCCCTCTCTATAAAAACGATAAGCATGATTTTTAATTTTATATTAGATATTCTTTCCTATAATCTCCTATCTCTCACTCTCTCTCCCCCATATTTCTCTCTCTCCCTCTCTATGGTTTTTCTATATCTCTCACTCTTTTTTTCCTAAAATCTCTCTCCCTCTCTCTATAACTCTCTCTCCATGCATCTCTCTTCTCTCTCTAACTCTCTTTCTCTCCACGCATCAAATCTCTCTCTCTCTCTCTCAAATCCCGTACATGAGTTTCCTTTTCTTATTTATATAGGATTTTCTTTCTTCCGTTCTATTTCATATATTATATAGTTTTATCTTCTCATTTATATGGGATTTTCTTTCCTCCATTCTATTTCATATATTATATATTATTTCCTATAATCTCTTCTCTCTCACTCTCACAGTCTCTCACAATATTTCTCTCTCTTCCTCTTTTCTAAAATCTCTCCCACTCTTTTTCCTATTTCTCTTACTCCCTCTTTTCTAAAATCTTTCTCTACAGTTTTTCTATATCTCTTACTCCCTCTTTCGTAAAATCTCTCTCCCTCATTCCTAAAATCTCTCTCTCTCTAACTCTCTCTCCATATATCTCTCTACCTCTCTCTCTTTCCATGCATAAATCTCCCCCTCTCAAATCCCTTATTTCTTTTTTATAGAGATAAATATGAGTTTTCTCTTTCTATTTATATGGGATTTTTTTTCTTAAAATCGACTCTTGTATCTCTCCGGATGAATTGAATCTCACAACTAGAAAAGATCACCCACAAAATTTCTACTCTTTATGGTTTCCTTAAATTCTCTCCCTTTCTACTAATTTCTCATTCTGTTATCAAATTCTCTCCCTCTCTACTGATTTCTTATTCTCTATTTCATTGTAGGTAATGAATCTTTTGGTTGCTATCTCAGCTCGACTTTGTTACATGGAAAATCCATCCAAAGATAGTGCAGCTTATATTGCATAATGTTTTCGATTACTCTTAATATTCAATCTTTTTGCTCACCCAATAACTTTTTCTGTTAGAGTCCTTTGCAGGTATTTAAGATTTAGGTTGTGTTCCTTAATATTTCGCATTCCTTTGTCTTTGTGAGCTTCCTGGTTGTATCTATTGCTCTGGAATTTTGTCTTAAATGGTTTCTTAACTAAATCTCAAATATAGGCAACTACTTTGGACTTTTCATGTTCGTTTACTGCTGTTTTTGTTTTGGACAATGCAATTTCTTCTTTATGTGATTATATGATACGAATGGTGGTAATATTACTATATCGTATTAGGGTGTCAAGGAATTTGAGTCCTAAATGATGATGACCTTCTCTTAGAGAGAGAGTTGCTTTCTCTGGCTCCTATGATTTATGTTGGACTTTTGATGGGAAGAGATGAAGAATACCAGATCTCCGAGGAATTGATGGCAATGTCGTGAGACTAGAGATCACAAAGATCAGGTTTTACCAGAACAACTGAGAACTCAAAAATAACTTCTTTGTAAGTGCCTCTCTATGGCCATGAAAATGCCTAGTTATAGATGGATGGAGGAGGTCGTTCTCCAACGTTCGGCTTCCTCTTGGAATCTTTGAGAAACATGACTCTCTAATCTTGGGAGATGGGAAGTTATCATCTACCCGTTGGATAAAGGCATATTCTCTCTCTAAGAAGCTTTTTAAGTGATAATTATGAAAACATTAAGATAAATAATAAGATAGAGAAATATGGGACATGTAAGGCCCCATAGCCACTCACACGTAGGAACATATCCTACTTGGCTATAAGGGCAAGATACATTAAAATATCATAAAGTTTATATCACTTAGTGGGTTTAACATTTATAAATATATCCTTGTCATGAGGCTTTTAACGCTAGCATAGTTATACATTTCATAACAAAAAATATCTAAAGTCATATCATAGGGTTTTTCACACTGATGCGATTTTTTTTCTAATGACCAAGACATCAAAGAAAATTATCCCATTTGGGATATCCTGACTTAAATATTCCTAAGTCCCATCAAACTTATATGCTTTGATAATATTTCTGAACTTAATCCCTTTGTTAAAGGGTCTGCAATCTATACCTGAAGATGGCAAATAATTTACAGTTATTTTATTATTTTCAATAATATCATAAATATAATGATAATCAATTTCAATGTACTTACCCTTAGAACTATAAGTTCCATTTCTAATTGATGAGATAGCAGCCTGATTATCACGAAAAAATTTAACTTGTCCGTCGACTATATCTAGCTTCAAATCATTTATGAAGCCTTTAATCCAAACGACATAACTTGTAGCAATGCTACAAGCAATATACTTGGCTCACATAGTATACCGAGCTACGTAACGTTGTTTCTTGCTAGACCAAGAAACACATCTACCTCTAAAGAGGAATACAAATCCTGAGATTGATTTTCTATCAGTTGGGTCTCCAGCAAAGTCTGCATCAGAGTACCCAGTAACCTTTAAGTTAACAGCTTAGAAGCACAACTTGTAATTTTTAGTTTTCTGAATATATTTGAGTATCATTTTTACGGCTTGCCAATGAGCTATTTTAAGATTACTCTGAAATCTACTTACAAGACCATATGCATGACTCAAATCAGGTCTTGTACACAACATGATATAATTTTTGCATCCTACAGCTTGAGAATATGGAATTCTTTCCATTTCAGCTTTGTCACTATCACTTAATGGGCACATTTTTTTTTACAATTTTAAACCTTTACAAACTAAGGTATCTATGGGCTTGCAATTTTTCATTTTAAATATCTTTAAAATACTTTCCAAATAATTTTGTTCAGATAAACATAGAAACCTCGAACTTTTATCTCTTGTTATTTTAATGCCTAATATATATGAGGCTTCTCCCATATCTTTCATCTCAAAATGGAAACCTAGTCATAATTTGGTACAATTAATCATGCCAATATCAGTACCAGCTATCAAACTATTATCTACATATAGTAACAATATAACAAAATTGCTCTCACTGTTCCAGACATATACACAATGGTCTAACCTATTAGCTACATAACCAATTTCAATGATTGCATTATGAAAAGTAATGTACCACTTCCTAGAAGACTGTTTTAGAC